ACAAATTGTGATAGCAATGTAAAATCCTCATTTTGAAAAGATATAAATCTAAACTTTGCCAGAATCAATAATATGGATTTGAAATCATTTTTGTTCTTCTATGGGATCCACAAACTACAAGCACTGCTTTTATCATCATCATCTTTATCATCATTATCATCATCATTATCATCATCATCATCATCATCATTATCATCATCATTATCATCATCATTATCATCATTATCTTCATCATCATCATCATCATCATTTTTTATCATATCATTATTACAACTATCATATTTATTATCATAATCTGGTCACTAAATCCATTCAAGGGACTATACTATATTTGACAGAAGGAAACAAAGAACAAAATTCAAGATATTCTATCAATTTGTTGGAACTCATGCTGTGCCAGATCAATTTGGTTGGTCTCATGAATTCTTTGTAAAGTTTTTATCAATTTGAAACTTCATCCGGGAAACATGTACAGTATGTATATTCCTATTTTTTAAAAAGTACAAGATGAAATTACTAGTGTATGCATTGTTTTTCAATTACCAACACTTTATTTGAAATTAAAAGAAGTTTTATAAATGGAATTAATCAAAATAGTTTCAGGCTTCAGAGCCACAGAAGTAAATCAAAGTACTTGCTGGATTATTAAAATAGTAGCCCTTTTTAATGGCCATCATATATAACATTGCTATTGTCCAAATTTTATTTTTTAAGGCAGTTTCTAACTCAAACTCAGGGAGGGGAGATGTAATTTGTTTTCTTTTGTCAGCAAAGTGTAGAAACTAGAAAGGTACTCAAAACACACATGTGCTGTTTCTTTCATTCCATTCGTAGCAACAAGCATGTCAGGCTGGTCTCTATTGCTTTTAGTTATCAGGTGAAAGCAATGAATTTGATGAAAAAGTGAAATGAGTTGATGGTGAAAACATGCATGATATCAAGCATTCCTAGATGTACTGGGGAGAGATTTCATGTCATTGCACGGCTATTGCGCGCTGTATTTGTATCTAAAAAAAAGAAGAAGATGATTTTATCAATCTACTTTATCTATTTCTGTACAGTATATAAATAAATTGAGTATTAATGATGTAAAACATGGCATTACATGTTCTTGGACTGCAGTCTTGAAACGTTGTTAATGAAATTGAATTGAAGTAAATAAATCAAAACTGTTACCACCTTACAAAATTCATTGAAATTACAATGTTCACAAACTGTATGTTTACATGTATGTACTCATCTTTGGGGGACTATCTAAGATCATATTCAATTTCGTTTTTTCTCTGTAATGTTAAAAATACAAGTACATGTATGACCACTAATGCATGTTATTTTGGCTCTTTAATATACATTACATAAAGATGAGAGAAAAAAACACTATTATATTAAAGTATGTTTACAGTGAATGAAGTGTCTAAGTGTATCACAAATGGCATGCTATAATCTACCTCTGTTACAAGTGTGTTGTGCATAAGCAGCTCTTCTGGATACTCTGGATTAGCGTAAAACACAATACACTTATTTCTATGGTAACCAAAGCATTATACCCATTTGCGAGTCTTTCAAATTGCTCTCAGTTGAAAAATAAAGGGTTTTAGTTGTGTTGAGAAAGATAAAATAGAGTCCTAACAAGACTACAGCTAATTTTTAGGTGTGTTTGAAATCAAGCAATTATTGTTCTTGCACTTTTTACAGAAGGAAACCTTGAGAACTGAAGGTGAACAAAAGAGATACAAGTATGCCTGCCAACATGACTTTGCACGAAAACAAATTAATCAGTCACCAAATTCAAAATAAAATAACAGATATATAATTTGACTTACATTACAAATTTGGTATAAAATTTGAGGAATAATACCTTCATGTATTCTATATTACTGTAAATATTAAGTTAATTTTTTTCACATTTTTCCCAGCAAAGTTAAAAATATTACTGTATGATGTGCTACATGTATGAGTTGCACATCAATGAAGAGTGTGGCCTTCGATATCTAAAGAATGTTGTGTTTGTTGCTTTAATAAAGCAAATGTGTTCGTCTATACTGGAATAGGAAGCTTATATGAATTATATTATTTTGAAGGACTTATTACCTATATAATGATTCCAACTAATGATTTCATTGAAATGTAGTATCTCTTTAAACCTGTTGGAGACATTGTGTGATGCATTTCCCATGAGTCTTTAAGTTAAGTCTTATAACTTGACATGGCATAACATTCCTCTACTCTATACTATAATCTAATAAACAAACTAAATAAGGGCTCTTCCATCTCACCGCTATGTAATTTTCTTCCAGAATAAGCTCATAATCTAATCTACCATATCTCATTTGTGTGATTGATGACAAACACAGTTAGTTACATGTACCCACATCAACAGCCTAGCAAAGATTCATCCTTGGCTAAAGTTATGAATAATGATTTCAACAGTGCAACTCAGCAAGTACAAAGTGTTTAGAGTTATATATACACATTCCTTCTTTCCTTCCAGGTAAATTCGGGGGGGGGGGTGCAGCAGGGGGGAGTTCTTAGTATAGATCCCATGTCTCATGTTTTTTAAAATATCTTTTGAATGCAGAAAACAAATTTTAAAAAATGAATTTGGGGAAGAAGAAAAAAAATTAGCATTTTTTGTTGTTTTTGTTTCTCTTCCATTTCTCCCGAACTTTACAGCATATACCTGTAGCTATAAAGCATGGGTAAACTTCCGATCTTTTATACAGTGTTGATGTCTTTAAGCATCAAGAAATGTCATGATATATGTATGTATTGAGATCAAGCTATAGCATGAGGTTTAGTGTATTTCCTATCCCTATAATCCTAAACATGGCTTGAAAGGGTCATGAGTGTCATATGACATGAGCAAAGTCATGTGACAGAAACAAAAGTCATGTGACAGAAACAACAGTCATGTGACATATCAACCACCCATCTTCAAAAAACAATGATCATCCAAATGATTTGCCTTCTAAAGCTAAAACCAGTATTTCCAATCTTCCGTTCTTTAACCATTTGAAACCTGGATTAGATTCATGAAACTACTGTGTGACCAATTTCATACCGGTAATCACTTATTAAATAGATCAATGGAGCACAAGCTCAAAAGATAATATAAAACATGTTTTGGGATGAAGGTAACCAATGCTGCAGCCTAAGATACCCAAATGGGACACAGCTTACAACAGGAGGCCTTTCACAAAACTTGTCATCGGTGACAAATAACAGTTTTTCAATAAGCTGCTGAAATCCTTGCTTCTAATTGGTTATCAGCAGATTTGTCACTCATTTTTGTCATTTGTCATTGAAAAAAGATTTTGTGAAATGGGCCCCAGGAGTGCAATGCGACCAAGATCTGTAAGACGTAATCTATGTGTACAGCACATGTAGAGAGCAGTGAGCAGTGTAGCAAGTGTGTGATGATTGGAAATCATTTCGCTGAGCCAAGACAGTACAACAAATTCACATCTTACATAGATTGCAATAGCCTGTACCTTAGTCTATAGCTTTTACAAGAAAAAATACAAACAACTTTGCTCTCCTGAAACAAAACAGAAAGCTTTTGTTTTGTGAAACAAAGTGAAATTATACAGCTTATTGAAAGAGATAGAGATGCAGTGGTGTCGATATTGAAGCTTTGATTCCTATAAAGTAAGCTTGAGCCAAGTGAATGTGAGGGCACACAGAAGAACAGTGAGAAAATAATTCTGCTTATTTGGTAGGGTGTCACTTCATCAGCAATGCAAGTATGGAGAATGCTCCCAAGCTAGGGTGAACAACAAAATCTTGCTTGGTTTGAAAGGTGAAAGGTGAGTTCATTTGAAAAGAGCAAAGGTCATATCATTCTTTGATCAAACAGCAACAGGGTCAAGAGACATGCACCTTTTTTGTTTTGTTATATAACACAGCAGCCGGAAGAGAGAGCTAACAAGACAAAGAAAAGCAAACTATACAAGTGATGGTTTGAAGAAAAATAACAAACAGCCATGAATGCAGAGGGGGGATCTAAGAACAAACTCTTCAGGAGGTCAAGAGTCAAAGGTCATGGGCTGAGGTGAGAATCTCTTGATGCATGACCACTGACCTTTCTTGGTGGGTGAGGAATACGACAAGCCTGAAGCGAAAGTAGGCATGATGATCTCGCCTGGTTCCGACTCCGAGTCATGACCGGATGGAACCACTCGCATGCGGATACGGGCGGGTGTTGACCCAGCGCGGGCAAGACGTGGTGACCCCTCGCTTGAGAGATGGCGTACCCTGACAGGCGAGGGGGAGCGACTCCTTGTCGTCTTGGTGACCTTGGTGGTGGTGGTGCGTACAACGGAAACACTTCCTGGGTCAAACCCTTGCAAGGTTACACCATCGAGGTGGATGACATCATCTTGAGATGGCTTCCGAACTAATCTGTTGTCATCTAGAATGTGAAGATAATCCCCCCAAAGCTACAGACAGACTACAGACAGTATTTACACCATATACAACTCATATGATAGAGACGGAAGAGTGAGCACTACAAAGAGGAAAACGTGTCAAAAGCACTGAAACAGAAGACCATTTACTGTGTTTAGTAAACACATGATCTTTGTATGCTCAATACATTACATTTCTATCCATTGTAATTGTTCTAGTGGATTGCTTTTAAGTTCGACAATTGTATAGATGTAAAATCTAAATCATCTATACTCCTGCTTTGATAAGATCTTCCATACCATCTGGAGGCAGCTGGGCTTTGTGCTTGATTGGTTTGGGTGTTTTAAAAGCATGTGGGTAGGTACTTGTAACATTTAATAGGATGCAAAATTTTCCACGATCTAAACCATACCAAATCTATCTGAAAGGTTCACAAAGAAAAGTAAAGGACAGAATGCACGTAGGAGAGAAACTTGGATCGGCACTTTTACGTTCACGACAGAAGATGATGGAGAGAGGATGGTTTTTGAGGAAGACCTGGAGGATCTTGCGCAATTTTAGAGAGGGAGAAAGTCTTTGAGTTAATATCTCACCTGTTCCAGAGAACCCCGAGTCATTTGTGACGATGAGACTGGACTGAGAAGACATCTTCCCATTCGGATGGTACGATCCGTTCACTGATGACTGACTTCTGCAAGTAAATATAAACACATGGGAAGATGAGAGCAACGTACATCTAAAGGTCATGATAATGTAAGGAAGCAATTTCACATTCTTAAGGGCAGATGTTACTGAAGCAAGCAATATACAGTAGCAGCTAATAACATGATGAGTCTTAAGTATGAAACAACCAACATAATACCAACCACTAACATGTCACAGCCACCTTGTATTTACAGAATAATCACATGAATAATTTTAACATACAGATTGAACGCTCTTCTGGTGCTAAACAAGAACGTATTCAGGTTTACTCAAATTAAAAACCAATGAGGTATTATGATGCTTTCTTAGGAAATAGAATTAATTTCTGCCATAAAATCAGTGTTAAAAGAATACTCTGTTAGCAAGAGCTCTTATAGACTTTGAAGTGATAATATTTAATCAATTTTTTTTTTTAAATTATTGATATTTTCTCCAAGGACTTTTTATTCCAGAGGGCTCTTTAAGAACCATGAGCTACTGTAAAAGCAGCATAATTGTGCATGATACAGTAAATGAAGAAACTATAATGTAAAATATCAATTTGAGAACTTTGCAGAACTTTTACAGTAAATTACTATCTATGCCTGTACATTTTTTCGCTGCCATTAAACCAAAGAACAATTCTTATATATGTATCATACCTGTGTATTCTGAGTTGTAGATCATTTGAATTGTTATGTAATAGTTTCTGTGCTTGAGAAACAGGTAGATCCCCTGTCCTGACACCATTCACTGTCTCTACAATGTCACCAACATGAAGCTGTGCTCTCGAAGCCTTGCTACCAGGATTGATCTGAGAAAAAAGAAAAAATAGATATTCATAAACAAATAAGTTCTGAAAGTTGTGTATTGTTATACCTTCCAAGGGGCCTGGCATGTAGACAAAGAAGATGAGAACTGAAGTAAAATACAATTTAAACAAATAATTATTTCAATGCATCAAACCAATTATGTGGATCATCATTGCTTCCCCACATCGTACAAAATAGAGAATCACAAACAATAAGATTAATCAAATGTACACTGTAATTACTTTTTTCTTTCTTTTTGATTGGTCTTTTAAGTAGGGAAGGGGCATATACACCATCTTTAACAATTTATTACTTTCTTTGCCTTTCTGCACAGTTGCTCATTTGTCACACATGCAATTTTTCACAACACAATATGCACCAATTGGAGGAAGGACTGCCTTGTGCAAAACAATTTTTTTTTTAATATCCCAGTTCAGATCTTGATTAGCTCCATGACAACTCTGTTGAAACCGGTATGGATTATTCTTGTATTTGGTATCTACATGTATCCTATGATAACTACAATGTGGTACAAGGAATTTTTGTGTAACATACATACTTTATTAAGGGTAAATTCTGTGTTAGATATACTACTGGCTGTGATAACCTTGCCCTTTGTGCATATTCAAAGTAATTGATCTCATTTCAAATGATTAAAAGAATCACCAGGTTTTTATTCATAAAAGAACCAAAATGAAATATTTAATGTACATTTAAATGTATACCCAGTAACACAATCACTTACATACAATAAAAATATAAATTACATGTTACCAAATAAGGCAAATATTATAAAATCCATCATCTGTATGACAAAAACTAGAATAAAAAAAGTTAGACCATTTTCCCTTTTTTCTCTTTCTGTGAAACAGGCATTTCCTTTTAAAAACAACAATCACCATACATGTACACAATACATGTATTCCCCTCCCCTAATCAAATTGAAATGGAGAAATTCCACTACATTTCATTTCAATACACTCAGAGCAATTGCTTGCACCTGTCTTATAAACTAATCCTGACATAGGGCTGCACTTACTTTTTCCCCTTTTGGCTTCTACTATGAAAAATTCTATTAAAAAATCTGCTCAACGATATCACATATTTGGTTGGACTGGAAACCCTGGAGAATAGAGGAATGCAGAACCCTGTCATAACTGATCCATCACTAACATTCATTGCTTGACAACATCATTTGTTTACTGTTCTAAAATACCTAGACAAGTGTACTGGTCTATTAAAGCTGACATACATGTACTGTACATGAACTTCATATTGAATAAAATATTGCATAGTTGGCCTTTAAAGTAGACACACGAAGAATCAAAAGTATTTTGAATTGATGCAAAACTCATATCATTGCGAAGGGGAAGCCTTGCTGATCAAATACAACAACTCTTTTCTTCACAATATGTTTGGGGCCTGCAGTAATCAACTCTCAAAAATGTTAGTTTTGAGATCCAGATTTTCTGCCTTAATCAGCGGTCCTTTATAGGGCGTCAATATTTGTGATGTCACATACGGGACAGGGCTGGCTAGCTGCAGACTGCTACACAGCACTGAGCTGTTTGTCCAGTGTGTGACGTCACTATTCAGAGCTCGCTACACTCGTGTGTCTGGCTTACGTTCGGGGCGCTTGGTGGTCTAAGAAGGGTCTTGAAAAATTGCATTTTACGCCTTTCCATGATATCTATATGATATCTCAGCAAATTATTCTTGTTTTTCAAGAGAAAATCTTTCTATCCATATGCAATTTGTTCTAATTATCAGTTGTTAGTGAATTTTCTTTGTGTAGCTCCTTTAAAGATATAGACCAGTTCTGGTCATGCAATTGCATAGTGAAAGAAACGTTGTGGAAATGATCAGTAAAGGTTGATCTATGATCATCTAGCATATAAATACTGCAAGGTTCTGGAATCATCAAAATGATAAGAAATTTGGCCCAGTCTTGGTAAAGTTACAAGCACTGTACACAGAAAGATGTATATGGGACTACCCTATATCTATCCAGTCCGGATAGATAAAATAATTTACCAAATTTATCAATTAGTAGGCGGCTTCCCAGCAAAATTTGTATCATCACGCATTAGTCAAAACATATTCTTTCACATGATTGGTAATAAGAGCTTCCATTTCATTTTTTGAAAGGGGGCCTTCCAAAACTGGTCTATACCTTTAACAGAATGAATACATGTAGGTTCACAATTAAAATTTCCAATAGGATGTTTATTTGATTTAATTTGGATAGAATTGTTAAACCAAGTAATAAATATACAATTCCTGGTGCTATAGAACTTTACTTGATACTGTTCAGAGAAGTTTTAATAAAGCAACTCATCATACAGTATGAGGGGAAAAAAGGAGAAAATAAAGGAAAAATAAAAGGAGAATAAGCATGGGTAACTGGGGTACACAAACACACAGCTACCCCCATCCCTCCCCAAAATGCTGCCCCTGTGTAAAAGTGTGTATACATGCAAATGGAAAGTATGGAAACCTACTACATGTACTTGTGAAAATTATTTTTTTAAAATCAATTCTAATAAATAATTGATACACGTGTACAAATTTATGTAACTTTACACGTCTAAATTAAATCAAAATGTAAATTCTAATCCATAGTTCATACATACTATTTATAAATTCATTTAAATAAACAGAATTATAGAGAAAAATACTTCAAAACTATACCACAAAGCGTCCTACATTTGTAAATTCTTGCTTGGTGCAAAGCCAAAGGTCACATTCATTGCCCACTGTATTCAGTCATCCCCAAGGAATTCAATTTCTGTCAGTCTCATATAATACGTCTTGATTTGTTTGGTTTCTAAAGGCTATCATAACTGAAATATGGAATTCCATTTGATGACAGGACAGAGTTTGGCTACGGATGACAAGAGGTCTTGATTTATTGGCAACAAATGCAGGGCTGGACTTAGATGGGAATCCCTAGATGGGTACCGGTATAAGGATTGATGGAGAAAGAGGGTGGATGTGAAAATGGCAGAAGGATGCGGTAAGGTTAATGCTCAGAGCTCTAAAAGAGAAAGAAGCTGAGGTACATGTAGGACTAGTAGCCTTTTCACACACAGCTAAAATTCTATAAACATGATTAGTATAAACGTGTTTGAAACGTGTTTAAACTAATCACGAGCCTTTCACACACAGAAATTTCGGTGCGATCGTTAATCGTTTCGTGATTAACTACTGCTCGTAAAATGCGCAGTAGTGCCATTGCGCATTGAAGGTCATGTCATATCAATCAAAGTGCACGCTCCATCCAGTTTAAACACGTCTGAAACACGTTTAAACAAGAATAACCTTTCACACACAAAATTTCAAGCTCTCTAGATACGAACTTCGTATCTGCAGCCTGCTTTTAGGGGCGTATGCATCGCGACTTCGTATCTATCCCAACATCGTATAAACGATGTTCACACTGGGAAAATTTTCTATAAACATGTTTAAAACTGTTAAGTTAAACATGTTTATACTAATCATCTCTGGACACGATGAATTTTAGCTGTGTGTGAAAAGGCTGTAGGAGAGGTATGGTCAGAGGCTCACCCTACTCAGACAAGAAATTAAACAGGTGATTGAGAATCAAGATAAATACTAAGCAAAGTAGAAGTACGTACATGTACATGCTCAAGAGACACTTTTTCACCCTAGAAACACGGTTTTCAAAAACATTTAGTTTAAAACACTGTTGCGTTCAAGAGATTTCAAGCGATTTGTTTTCTGTTTTTTTGTGGGTCGTAAAAATAAAGTGTTTCTAAATGAAAAGATGAAACACTGAAAAAGATGCGCTTGAACAACACTCCCGCAGTAACTGTGTTTTTAAACAGCGTTTTGATTTGTGATTCTAGCTTCAAAACATCGCTTGAACGCACCCATATATAAAGAATAATAGAGGTGGAGAACTGAAGAATGAGCTAGAGTGACACAAACTAAAGTAGGGGGAGGGAGATGAATAGAGGACAAAATCAAGAAATAGACAGCTCAAGGGCACTGGATACAAATGGGAGCAGGGTAGGGAGCTAGGAGAGCGCTCTACATGTAATATGTGACCTCCTTATCAATATCTGTGTAAAAAATATAAATGATATACATGTACATGTATATCATTATCCCCCTGTCCACACACAACATTTTCCGTGACTAATCATGATTAGCTATACCGTTTCGCGATAGTGATACCGTTTCGCGATAGTTTTACGACCAAAATTGTAGGTGTGGACGCTCACTAACGATACGTCGTATAACGAAACTAGTCTAACGAAACGCAGGTTTGGGCATCGTTTCGAACTGAAACTCAATAAAGAATCACGCCTAATCACGGAAATGTTGTGTGTGGACAGGGGGACCCCCTGGGGGAGTGTAACTAGTGTAACTAACTGGGCGGGGCTTAACGTGACCTCGAGCGAAATGAGACCAGACCTCTTATCACTATCGCGAAACTCTATAAAGAATCACTGAAAATGTTGTGTGTGGACAGGGGGCATTTTATACGATGATTCTTTAGTGACGACGTTTCTTGTGTGTGGACATCCTGGAATTTATACGATGATTCTTTATACGACGTATCGTTATAGAGTTTCGCGATAAATTGTTTTGTGTGTGGACACGCTGAGAGTTTACAAACATACATGTACATGATTACTGAATACATGTATGCGATTCCAATCACAAAATGTTCATGTACATTATAATACAGACAAAATTATATACATGTACATTGTATGTACACAGATGGCTGATAATAGAATTCCAATCGCAAAATGTTTTTGTACATTAAAAATACAGTAGAAATTATGAGAAATTCATTTTGTATAGCATTAGCAAGTGAATCTGCACACATGACAGACGAGGTATAGATGAATCTATGCAAATATAATTCAATAACCTAGGGTAAGGACACTTTACAAGGCTGTAAAATGTTCAATGTCGCTTCCAACTTGAGGAAGACGGAACTCACTCAATTATCGATTGTAATCAACTC